TGGCATGCAGCAATGCCTACGGGCCAGTGAGATTTGAGTGAGGAGAGGCCCACCAATCAGAAAGCAAAGAGCGAAGTGGCTAGTTTCCTCTTGATCCATGTGCCACCCAGCATGGCCCATAGAGATAGGAAAATTAAGAGTGGCACGTGGTACTGCCATTCTGTGAAGACAGAATTCTGGTCTGAGCAGAACAACCTGGAGTTAATAATAATAATAATAGAGTTGGAAGGGACCTTGGTGGTCATCTAGTCCAACTCCCTGCTCAGGCAGGAAATCCTATACTATTTTAGACAAATGGCTGTCCAGTTGCGCTCTCAATTCCCACGAAACTGTTTGTGTTGTTAAGTGAGAAATTGTTAAGTGAGTTTTGCCCCAGTTGACGACTTTATTTTGATGTTGTTAAGTGAATCGCTGCAGGGGTTAAATTAGCAACACGGTTGTTAAGTGAATCTGGCTTCCCCGTTGACTTGACTTGTCGTAAGGTCGCAACAGGGGGATCACGTGACCCCGGCGGGAGACTGCGACCGTCATAAATACGAACCGGTTGCCCAGCCTGTGAATGTTGATCCCGTGGGGACGCTGCATCGGTCGTTAAAAACAGTCATAGGTTCCTTTTTTTGAGCGCCGTTGTAACTTCGGACGGTCACTAAACGAGTCGTCGTAAAGCGAGGACTGCCTGTATTTCGTTCTTCGTAGGCAAGATGAAATGAAAAAGGCTGGTTCCTGTTGCCCTCCCGTTTCTGGGGGGGGGAAAGTAAATAATCCCCACCAACTTGGGGGTTTAAGAGCCAGAAAAAGAAAATCTGGTTGATGTGGGCGAAGCGGAGGAAACGGCCACAAAGTCCGGAAGCAGAACTGGAAGAGGAACCGAAAGAAATCAGGAGCTTTGGGTGATGCTTTTGATTGGTCAAAACGGAAGATGGGAGGGCTGGGAGAAGGAACGTGGGCAGAGGGTTGAAGTCCATGAGTCATAAAAGAGCCAAGGTTGCCTACCCCTGAACATGGGTGTGCTAATGTTTATTTATTAGATTGTTATCCTGCTGCCCTTGTTATTTTTTATAAGTAGCTCAAGAGGGTGAAGATACCCCTTACACTCTCCTGCTGCTTCCCCCCCCCCAAACAACAATCTTGCCAGGTGTGCTGGGCTCAGAGAGAGGGATTGGCCCGAAGCCAGCCAACCAGTTTTCATGCCTAAGGCGGGAGTAGAATTCACCGTCTCCTGGTGATTGGCCCAGAGTCACACAACCTGCTTTCACGTCTAAGGCAGGACTAGAACTCACCGTCTCCTGGTGATCGGCCAGCAGCCGAAAAGGCCAATGCAATCCTGGGCCGTGTTAACAGAGGGATAGAATCACGATTACGTGAAGGGTTAATACCACTTTACAAGGCCTTGGTAAGGCCACACTTGAAACGCTGCATCCAGTTTTGGTCACCACGATGTAAAAAAAGATGCTGAGACTCTAGAACAGTGGTTCTCCACCTGTGGGTCGGGACCCCATTTGGGGTCGAGCAGCCATCTTACGGGGGTCGCCAAACAACGCAGTCCGCCATTTTTTCCCCCTTTTCCTTCGCTGTGCTACTCCCTTTTCTTTTATTGGCTTTTGAAAGCCAATAGAATAGACTCTCTTGAATAGAGTCTAATTCTATTGGCTTTCCAAAGCCAATCGGAATTGTCCAGGCTGTCTCTGCCCTGCTGAGCCCGCCAAAAGCCCCAGTCTGCAAACGGTGCTGCACCAGTTGAGTAGTCCTCGACTTACGACCGGTTGGGGGGTACGGCATTAAAAAGGTTGAGAACCACTGCTCTAGAAAGAGTGCAGAGAAGAGGAACAAAGAGGATCAGGGGACTGGAGGCTAAAACATATGAGAAACGGCTGCTGGAATTGGGGATGTCTAGTTTAAGGAAGAGAAGGACGAGGGGGGACAGGATAGCAGTCTTCCAGTATCTCAGGGGCTGCCATAAAGAAGAGGGAGTCAAGCTATTCTCCAAAGCGCCCGAAGGCAGGACAAGAAGCAACGGATGGAAACCAATCCAGGAGAGAAGCATGCAGATGACCAAGAGCAATAATTAGCCGTTTAGCGTGAAAGTAAAAAAAAACTCAAATATCTTTGGGCATGAAACTAAGAGAAAGGGGAAGGATGTTGTCGATGTGAACGGAAGGGGTCCCGACCTGTGAAGTGCAGAAAAGGGAAAGTTTCAGGTCCCGTTATGACTGCCTGGGCTAAAATATATGTCGGGCTGAAAGAGAGGCGGACAGCTTAGCGGCTGAGCACGAAATGGGAAACACACTGGTGGGTGAACGTCCCAGGCTGAGCTCCGGGTGAGAAGGGTGGGAGAATCTTGAGTTCTGAGGGAATGCAGCACTGAGCTGCATGGAGAAACGGGACGTAAGGCCGTTTAATTACTTATATTTAGAACTCAGGGTCTCTTGTGGCCTCAAAGTCGCCCCCCCCCCGCCCGCCATTCGCGCTCAGGGCCCTCCGTCTGCTGGTGATTGATTCTTCCCAGTTGCTCCCCAGTTGCTTCCAAGGCCGGGACTGATGCTCATCTGCTGGTGCTTGATTCTTCCTCCTCCTCCTCCTCCCCTCTTGCTCCTCCTTCCCTCTCCTCTTTCTCCCACTCATTTTTTCTCCTGCTCTTCCTGCTCCTCCCTCCCTCCCCTCTTGCTCCTGCCTCTCCTCCTTTTCTCCTCCTTTTCGTCTTCTTCTTTCTCCTCCCCTCTCGCTCCTGCTCCTCCTTTCACCTGCTCCTCCTCCCCTCTCCTGCTCTTCCCCCTCTTGCTCTCTTCTCCTCCTGTCCCTTTTCGCTCCTGCTCCTCCTCTTCCTCCTCTCCCCTTTTCTCCTGCTCTTCTTGATCCTCCCCCTCGCTCTCATCTTCTCCTCCTTCTCCCGTCCCTTTTCGCTCCTGCTCATCCTCTTCTTCCTCCTCTCCCCTTTCTCCTCTTTTCTCCTGCTCTTCCTGCTCCTCCCCCTAGCTCCTGCTCTCCTTTCTCTTCCTCCTCCCTTCCCTTCACTCCTGCTCCTCCTCTTCTCTTCTCCCTCCTGCCTTTTTTCTCCTGCTCCTCCCCTCTCCCTTCTTGCTTCTCTTGCTCCTGCTCCTTTTCTCCTCCTCCTCCATCTTCTTTTATCTTTACTTTATCTTACCTACTATATTTTATCCCATTTAATCCCCAAGGAGCTATTTTATCTTACTTCAATTTCTCATTTTATTCTATTTTATTACGGCTGGTGCTCTTGCTCTGAGACCAACTGACCAATCAAACGAAGTATACAGTATCGTAGTATTGGTACCCCAGTAATTATGGTTAAAAAAAAATTATATAATCTTTTGATATTTACCTCTGCCCTTGCTGAGCTTCCGGTAAAACGATTTACCCATGGACCTGGGTTCAATAGGTTCCCCTTTTATCTGTCAATTATACTTCGTACATTTTTATTTTTTTGCTAAATACAGGGAGTCTCCTCCTTGGAACACTGCAACCGTCATAAATGTGAATCGGTTGCAGAGCATCTGAATTTTGATCATGTGTGACTACGTGGTTGTTGCAACGGTTGTGTGAAAAATGGTCCTAAGTCACCTTTCTCAGTGTCATAACTGTGAATGGTCACTTAATGAGCTGTCATAAGTCAAGGACGATCTGTATTATGTTCAGTTCACTTTGATAACTTACAGGTTTTATTTTAAATTGTATTATGGGTGTAGTTTGGGGGTAATAATAATAAAAAAGTTGGAAGGGACCTTGGAGGTCATCTAGTCCAACCCCCCCCCCGCTCAGGCAGGAAACCCTACACCATTTCAGGAAAAATGGCTGTCCAGTCTCCTCTTAAAAACTTCCAGTGGTGGTGGTGGAGCCTCCACCGCTTCTGGAGGCAGGTTGTTCCACCGGTTAATTGTCCTCACTGTCAGGAAATTTCTCCTTAGTTCCAGGTTGCTTCTCTCCTTGATTAGTTTCCATCCGTTGCGTCTTGTTCTGCCTTCAGGCGCTTTGGAGAATAGCTTGACTCCCTCTTCTTTGGGGCAGCCCCTGAGATATTGGAACACTGCTATCATCCTTCTCTTCCTTAAACTAGACATGCCCAATTCCAGCAACTGCTCCTTATATGCTTTAGCCTCCAGTCCCCTGATCATCTTTGTTGCTCTTCTCTGTACTCTTTCTAGAGCAGCAGTTCTCCACCTGTGGGTCAGGACCCCATTTGGGGTCGAACGACCATTTCACGGGGGTTGCCAAACAACGCAGTCCACCATTTTTTCCCCCTTTTCCTTAGCTGTGCTACTCCCTTTTATTCTATTGGCTTTTGAAAGCCAATAGAAGAGACTCTCTTGAATAGAGTCTAATTCTATTGGCTTTCCAAAGCCAATAGGAACTGTCCAGGCTGTCTCTGCCCTGCTGAGCCCGCCAAAAGTCCCATTCTGCAAACGGGGCTGCACCACTTGAGTAGCCCTCGACTTACGACCGGTTGAGTAGTCCTCGACTTACAACCGGTTGGGGGTCGCGGCATTAAAAAGGTTGAGAACTACTGTTCTAGAGTCTCAGCAACTTTGTTATAGTTCTCTAAAAAACTAAAAAAATGCACCCCCGAGGGCATCCTAGATGCACAGAGGGAGGGAAGCACACTAGTCTAGCTGCAGAAGGGCGTCAGGACACCTAAAAAGCCCCTGTAGAGTAGTCCCGCAACACAACCACACAATCTACGCGCATCACAACAGGGACTGGGCTAGCCCGCTAGAGGGTCTCACATCAGCTACTCCTCCAGGTGTTCATTCCCATGACGGAGGCGGGATGGCTACGCGGCGCTTCCTCAGATCGTCTCCCCACGTCCGCGCCACAAAACTCCTCCCACCCACCAAGCGTGACCCCACCCCGCTTCCGCGCCGCTGCCACGGCGGCAACTGCGGGGCCGTGGCCAGCGATCGCTCTTTTATACTCCGCTCCCGGGAGGGGCGGGACCCTCGGTCCTCTGGCAGCCAATCGGACGGCCGTGGCTGACGTCGGCGCTCGCCCGCGTTGGCCTGGGCCGCCGTCACGTGGGCGCCCGCGGGCGTCGCTGCGCCTGCGCGGCTCCTCCCCCTTCTCCTCCGTCGTCCGCCGGCGAGTCGCGCTGCCGTTTCTTCTCCGTCGTTGCCGCGGACGGTAAGCGGGGACCGGGGGGGGGGCACCGGGCAGCGATTTCGGCTTAGTGGAGCCGGGGGAGGAACGAAGGAGACAGCCCCCGCTCTCTTGTCCCGGCCTTGAGGACGGGGGGGGGGTACTACACCTCCCATGCTCCCCGCCCGCGGCTGCGGCGCATGGGCATTGTAGTCCTCCCCCATCCCTCCTCTCCCAGCCCGTTCAGGCAGCAGGGCTCTCTCGGGCAGCGCTTCCTTCCCTCCCTCCCTCCCTCGGCCAACTCACCAGCCTGGCCGGGTTCCAGCTGCGAAGTCTCTCCGGCTGCCTGGACTCCCGGCCCCATCGTCCCCAGCGGGCGGGGTGAGAGTGGGGGGTGGGTGGGTGGCCCGCAGCCTTCCTGTTTGGAAAGAGCCGGTTGGAAAGGTTAGGCAGAAGGGGACAGCCAGGCTGCGGGGCGGGGGGTGTGTGATGGAGAGGTGGACCCCCCCTGTCCATTTGGGGAGGGGTCTGGGGGGGTGGGGAGTTGATCTCCCTCGGCGAGGGGTCTCCTTTGCGTCCGCTCCAGATCAGGTGGAGCCAAAGAGGGTCGAGCTGAACCTGAGGGTTCCATAGCAGCCGGAAGGGGGGGGTCACATCTGGGGTCTTCTGGGAGGTCCCCCCCTAGTGGGGCATGCCGGGAAAGGTTTGGGGAGGGGTCCCAGGAGGGCCTGCTGACCCCTGAATCTGAGGACAGCCTTAGCCCGGCCTGGGGGCAAAGATGAGGGTCCTGAGTAGCCTCTTGCGTCCTCTCCAGCTGTGACTGACATTGGGAGTGGATCTGCTTTCCCCAGAAGGAAGTTGGACCTTTTTTGGGGTGGGGGGGGTGGGGGGGTGGGGGGTTTGCCCTGATCCCTGCTCAGAGGGAGGCCAGCATGGACCCCCCCCCTTAGGTCCAATTGTCCCTGTGGTCAGCCGGAACCAGTATGAGCCCCGTTCTCAAGGCGAGCTTTTATTTTACGCTTATAAAAAGGTAACATTAAGACTTGTGGACTTCAACTCCCAGAATTCCCCAACAAGCCCTACTGGCCAGATTGTGCCCATGGTCAGCCAGAACTGGCTTGTTCCCTGGGGGAAGCAGAGCTTCTGTTTTACAGCTGTGTGTTTGTGTAGGTTGGGAGGGAGGGGTCTCTCCAAACTTGGCAACTTTTTAAAGGCTTGTGGACTTCAACTCCCAGAATCCCCCAGCCGGGCTCACCTGATTCTACCTTCCCAGGCTGGTTAGTGGCGCCTCACCACAAAAAAGGAAACCAAAATGTTTTATTATAGACAGTTGTCCTGCATATATCACCACAACTGAGCCCAGATTTCCTGTGCTAAACAGGACAGCTGCTAAGTGAGTTTTGCCCCATTTTACGACCTTTCTTTTACAGTCGTTAAGTAAAACACTGCAGCTGTTCAGTTAGTCACAGGGTTGTGAAGTGAATCTGGTTTCCCCCGTTGATTTTGCTTGTTGGAAGGTGGCAAAAGGGGACAGGACCCCAGGACACTGCGACTGTCACAAATAAACACTTGCCAAGTGTCTGAATTTTAAACGTGTGCCCATCGGCTGCTGCAACGGTCGTAAGTGTGTGAGAACCGGTCATTGGTCACTTTTTCCCGTGTCGTGTGAACGGTCACTAAACGAACGCATGTAATTTGAGGACTGCCTGTATATTCGGGAATACGGGCTGAATGTTCAGCTCTTCCCCAGCTGTTGCGGAAGTAAAGATAATTCCTTATCTGTTCCCAGTTTGTGCCTCTTGTTAATGAGTGAACAAGATGCCATCCCCAGGTCCATGGATCAAATGCCCGGCTTAATGGTGGCTTCCTTTCCACGAATTCTCAGGCAGGGCCTGGGTTCAATAACTCACCGTAATAAAATCCATTCACATTTCTAACCACCTGTGTCCTTGGTGGAAAGCTTGCTTAGTGGTTGCGCCTTGAGCAACGTGGATGCTGCTCTCTGTTGATTATGTTCTTTATTTTATTTTATAGAATAGAATATAGAATAGAAACTAGGGAATGAATAGAATAGAAAATATGGAATGAATAAAATAGAAACTAGAGAATAGAATGGAATACAAAATAGAGAACAAATAGAATAGAAAATATGGAATGAATAGAATAGAAAATATGGACTGAATAGAATAGAAAACATGGAATGAATAGAATAGAATAGAAAATATGGACTGAATAGAATAGAAAATATGGAATGAATAGAATAGAATAGAAAACATGGAATGAATAGAATAGAATAGAAAACATGGAATGAATAGAATAGAATAGAAAATATGGAATGAATAAAATAGAAAATATGGAATGAATAGTATAGAATAGAAAACATGGAATGAATAGAATAGAATAGAAAATAGGGAATGAACAGAATAGAAAATATGGAATGAATAGAATAGAATAGAAAACATGGAATGAATAGAATAGAAAATATGGAATGAATAGAATAGAAAATATGGAATGAATAGAATAGAATAGAAAATATGGAATGAATAGAATAGAATAGAAAATATGGAATGAATAGAATAGAAAATATGGAATGAATAGAATAGAAAATATGGAATGAATAGAATAGAATAGAAAACATGGAATGAATAGAATAGAAAACATGGAATGAATAGAATAGAAAATATGGAATGAATAGAATAGAAAATATGGAATGAATAGAATAGAATAGAAAATATGGAATGAATAGAATAGAATAGAAAATATGGAATGAATAGAATAGAATAGAAAATATGGAATGAATAGAATAGAAAATATGGAATGAATAGAATAGAAAATATGGAATGAATAGAATAGAATAGAAAATATGGAATGAATAGAATAGAAAATATGGAATGAATAGAATAGAAAATAGAAAATATGGAATGAATAGAATAGAAAACATGGAATGAATAGAATAGAAAACATGGAATGAATAGAATAGAATAGAAAATATGGAATGAATAGAATAGAATAGAAAACATGGAATGAATAGAATAGAATAGAAAATATGGAATGAATAGAATAGAATAAAAATATGGAATGAATAGAATAGAAAATAGGGAATGAATAGAATAGAATAGAAAATATGGAATGAATAGAATAGAATAAAAAATATGGAATGAATAGAATAGAATAGAAAATATGGAATGAATAGAATAGAATAAAAAATATGGAATGAATAGAATAGAAAATATGGAATGAATAGAATAGAATAAAAATATGGAATGAATAGAATAGAAAATAGGGAATGAATAGAATAGAATAAAAATATGGAATGAATAGAATAGAATAGAAAATAGGGAATGAATAGAATAATTAGAAACTAGGGACTAGAATAGAATAGAATAATAACTTTATTGTCACTTTGTACAATAATTGGCATACATTAAAATGAAAATTCGTTGCATTCAGCTCTCAAAGGGTCACCACCTATGATATACACTTCATAAATATGACAAAAATAAATAAATCACATGGCCCCGGGACGCTGCAATTGTCATAAATACATGCCAGTTGTCAAACCTATGAGTTATGATCACATGACCATTGCAAAGGTTGTAAATGTGGAAAATGGACATGTCACTTTTTTGAGTGCCCTTGTAACTTCAGTCGCTAAATGGACCGTTGTAAGTCGTGGATTACACAATTTTGTACTGTTTTCAACCTCTTTTAACTTCGTGAGCTGCCCATCTGACGGTTTTACTGGTTTTCACGGCTTTTGTGTTGGTTTTTTGTGTGTGTATGTGTGTTGCTTTCTGCATTTTTATCGTTTGGCGCTACCCAGGTTTGTCATAGGTCTTGAGATGAACAGGACTACACAGGTGGTCCTCGACTTACAAAAGTTTTGTTTAGTGACCGTTCGAAGTTACAACGGCACTGAAAAAAGGGACAGGACCGTTTTTCGCATGGCCGTTGCGGTATTTCCCCCCCCGCCCCCCGTGGTCACGTGATCCCCTTTTTGTGACCTTTGGACAAGCAAAGTGAAAGGGGAGAGCCGGATTCACTTAACGACCATGTGACGAACTTAACAGCTGCAAGGATTCATTTAACAACCGTGGCAAGCCAGATCATAAAATGGGGGGAAAACTCACCTAACAAATTTCTCACTGCAGCAACATAAATTCTGGGCTCGGTTGCTGTCGTAAGTTGAGGACCACCTGTATTAAACAAACCAAAGTCCTAGGACCTTTGCTGGAGGATCCTATAAAAGGGGCTGTTCCAGGGACAGATCTCCCTCCCCTTTCTCTCATCTTGACCTATCTTGATGGTAGCAGCTGGATCTGGGATCCCGAAAATAGCACAGCGTGGAACGACAACAATCCACGGTCCTCAAAGGTCTTCGGAAAGATCTGTGACATTTGCAGTCACAATTTGGGATCCGTTGGGCAGCAAAACGTCAATTGTCCAAGGTTTTCTTTGGGCATTGTGGCTGTGTGTTTGTGGGTGTGTGTTGGGGGGGCTGTCCCTTGTCCTGAGGGGCTGGTGGAAATATATAAGTTGGCTTCTGCGGGAAAAAAAGAGATCCCTGCAGAAATCTCAAAGGATCGGAGAGGGTATAAATAGATCCGTAGGCTGGAATGCGAACAGCGTGGTCCGGATCTGGGGAAATGCGTGGAAGTCCTTGGATAATTCCAGAATTCCCCATCTGGCATGCTTTGAGATGGGTGGACTTCAGCTCCCAGAATTCCTCATCCGGCATGCTTTGAGATGGGTGGAATCAACTCCCAGAATTCCTCAGACTGCATGCTTTGAGATGGGTGGACTTCAATTCCTAGAATTCCCCAGCCAGTTTGCGTTAAGATGGCTGGGCTTCAACTCCCAGAATTCCCCAGCCAGCCTGCTTTAAGATGGCCGGTCTTCAGCACCCAGAATTCCCCAGACTGCATGCTTTTGAGATGGGTAGACTTCAACTCCCAGAATCCCCCAGCCAACATGCCTTGGGATGGGTGGAATCAACTCCCCAAATTCCCCATGGCTGGCTGGGGAATTCTGGGAGTTGAAGTCCACAACTCCTTAAAAGTGGCCCTGGTTTTGGACCCTCCGACTTAGATATTAACTTTGGTCCGTCCTGGTTCTTACGATGTCTTCAATATTGCCAGGTGACCTTCGGTTCCGGCCTTTGGGGACGGGGGAACATCTCTCCTCGTCCGTTTGAGCCACCGCCTTCGTGGGCCCCAAATCCTCCCACTCCATTCCTGCTGTTTGAATCCCACAGGGCCTGAGCCATGGTGCTGGGCGTTCAGCAAGTTGTGGGGTACCTGGCCCTGTGGGCCCTCTGCGCTCAGGGCAAACCCACCGAGAAGAAGGAGCGTGTCCACCACGATGCTCAGCTGAGCGACAAGGTCCACGACGACGGCCAGAACTTTGACTACGACCATGATGCGTTCCTGGGGGCGGACGAGGCCAAGACCTTTGACCAGCTGACTCCCGAGGAGAGCAAGGAGCGATTGGGGTAAGAGATGCACTTGGCTGAATGTGAGCTGAAGCTGACACTCAGGGGTTGGACTAGATGACTTTTAAGGTCTCTTCCAACTCTGTTATTCTGTTCTGTTCTACTCCATATTCCTATTCCTATTCTATTATTCTGTTCTATTCTATTATTCTCTTCTATTCTTCATTATTCCTATTCTGTTCTATTCCTATTCTATTCTGTATTTCCTTTCTGTATTTCTATTCTATTCTATTCTTCTATTCTATTCTATTATTCTATTCTATTCTTCATTATTCCTATTCTATTCTATTCTATTCTATTCTATTCTATTCTTCATTATTCCTATTCTATTCTATTTCTATTCTATTCTGTATTTCTATTCTCTTCTATTATTCTATTCTCTTCTATTATTCTCTTCTCTTCTATTCTATTCTATTATTTTATTCTATTCTTCATTATTCCTATTCTATTCTAGTCTAGTCTAGTCTAGTCTATTCTAGTCTTCATTATTCTTATTCTATTCTATTCTATTCTCTGTTCTGTAATTCTGTTCTATTCTCTATTCTGTTTTCTATTCTATTCTACATTCTATTCTTCATTGTTCCTATTCTGTTCTATTTTATTCTATTCTGTTCTATTCATTATTCCTATTCTATTCTCTATTCTGTTTTCTATTCTGTTCCATTCTACATTCTATTCTGTATTGACCATTGTGGTCGTAAGCCGAGAACTACGTGGCATTGCCGAGGCCTTTGCAAATTAAGTGTCACACCTGGCTTGTCATGTAGGGCGGGACACAACCTCTGCATCAAAACCTTGATCCCTTCCAGCTCATTTACTTTCCTTGCTGTCTTTCAGCCCAAATTCTTAATTCTGCCTCTGTTTTCTCAAGGGGAAACTCGCCGGAATTAAACTGATTCCCCCCCTCCCTCCAGTTCGTATGCATAGCTCTTCTCTGTGTTTCTTGCAAAGCTGGACAGCTGATCTGTTAGTTTGCTGACACGCACGTAAATGGCCAGTCTAGAGAAAAGAAGGACTGGGGGGGGGGAGGACCCGATAGCAGTCTTCCAATATTTGAGGGGCTGCCCCAAAGAAGAGGAGGGGGTCAACTTATTTTCCAAAGGACCAGAAAGCGAGATAAGAAACAACGGATGGAAACCAATCAAGGAGAGAAGCAACCTGGAACTAAGGAGAAACTTCCTGAGAGTGAGGACAATTAACCAGTGGAACAACCTGCCACCAGAAGTTGTGGATGCTCCAAGACTGGAAGTTTTTAGGAACCATTTGTCTGAAATGGTACAGGGTTTCCTGCCTCAGCAGGGGGTTGGACTAGAAGACCTCTAAGGTCCCTTCCGATTCGCTGATTCTATTATGCTGTACTCCCAGATCAATTAACCAGTGGAACTGCTTGCCTCCAGAAGCGGTGGGTGCTCCATCCCTGGGGGTTTTTAAGAAGAGACTGGACAGCCACTTGTCTGAAATTCGATCGGATCTCTCGTTTGAGAAGAGGGTTTCCTGCCTGAGCAGGGGGTTGGGCTAGATGACCTCCTGAGGTCCCTCCCAGCTCTATCCTAATTGATTGATTGAATAATAATGAAAGTCTAGCGGAGACCAAGCTGCCAGTGCTTTCTTCGTCTTAATTGGAGCACACTTAAGGAGGGGCACTGGGGACAGAAACCAGCACATTAATGCAGTGTTTCCCAAACTTGACAATTTTAAGGCATGTGGACTTCATCTCCCAGAATTCCACAGCCAGCGTTGCTGGCTGTGGAATTCTGGGAGTTGAAGTCCTCATGCCTTAAAATTGTCAAGTTTGGGAAACACTGCGTTAATTAATGTCCATTTATATACTGCTACTTTTTTTTTATTGCATCAGCTTGTGAGAGGCCTGGAAGAAAGCAAGAACTTGGCTAAGGCCCTCTGCTGCCCTCCCCCCCCCCCCCCCCCCCCCCCCCCCTCTGCGCCCAAGTGTCAGATCACAGGAGTTGACAGCTGCGGTTATATTTGGCTCTGAATTCTGATGCTTCTGCTGTTCCAGGCTTTCGGGGTGGGGGTTGGGGTGGAGAGAGCAGGATTATGGGCCTTTGAATCCGCTCTTAACGCTCCACTTTTTTTTTTTTTTTTTTCCAAATTTATCAGCTGGGCCATTGGAGAAGGAAATACTCTGCGGATCGGACTTTCTAGTTTTGGATTAAGCTAGGATTGATAGATTGATAGAGGATGGATGATAGATACGTTGAGCGGATAGATAGATTGGTAGAGATGTTAGACCAGTGTTTCCCACACTTGACAATTTTAAGGCATGAGGACTTCAACTCCCAGAATTCCACAGCCAGCAACGCTGGCTGTGGAATTCTGGGAGTTGAAGTCCACATGCCTTAAAATTGTCAAGTTTGGGAAACACTGTGTTAGACAGAGAGACAGACAGATAGATCAGTGTTTCTCAACATTGACAATTTTAAGGCACGTGGAGTTCAACTCCCAGAATTCCACAGCCAGCAACGCTGGCTGTGGAATTCTGGGAGTTGAAGTCCACGTGCCTTAAAATTGTCAAGGTTGAGAAACACTGAGATAGATAGATAGTAAGAGATGGTAAGATAGATAGATAGACAGACAAAGAGAGAAATAGATCGGATAATCGATGGGATAATAAATAGATTAATACAGAGAGAGAATAATGATAAATAGAAAGAGGATGATAGAGATAGATAGATAGATAGATAGATAGATAGATAGATAGATAGATAGATAGATAGACAGATAGATAGATAGATAGAGATAGAAATTGATAGATTGATAGATTATACATACATCATGGATGGATGGATGGAGGGATGGATATCTATCTATCTATCTATCTATCTATCTATCTATCTATCTATCTATCTATCTATCTATCTATCTATCTACCTACCTACCTACCTACCCACCCACCCACCCACCCACCCATCCATCCATCCTATATCATCTATGTGTCTACGTATCTATTTATATCTTCTATATATATCATCTATCTTCTATCTCTTCTACCTACCTACCTACCTACCTACCTACCTACCTACCTACCTACCTACCTCCCTCCACTGCACATATATAAAACAGACTTAATGCAATTAAAAAAGAAGCAGCAGAAATTAGAAAACACCAACATGACCATTTATCTCAGGGGTGTCAAACTTGTAATGTCATGTGACGTGTCGTGACGTATTGCGACTTTTTTTCCATTGCCGGCAATGGGGCGGGCGCGGTTTCGGCATGCCGCATCCGGCCCATGGGCCGGCAGTTTGACAAACCTGATTTATCTTAAACCCTACTTAATGGGATCCACCATGAGGTCCTGTTGCGTTTTCATCCTATATGCTGGTGTTTGTCAAGCTTTAAGATGAGTGGATTTTAATTCCCAGAATTCAGTCTGGCTGAATTAAACTAGACTGAGGGATTCTGGGAATTGAATTCCTCCCCTCTTAAACCAGACTGAGGAATTCTGGGAGTTGAAGTTCACTCAACCTTAAACAAGACTTAAGGATTCTGGGAGTTGAAGTCTACTCAACTTAAACCAGGCCGAAGAGTTCTGGGAGTTGGAGTCCACTCAACTTTAAACCAGACTGGAATTCTGGGAGTTGAAGTTCACTCAACCTTAAACAAGACTTAAGGATTCTGGGAGTTGGAGTCCACTCAACTTTAAACCAGACTGAAGGATTCTGGGAGTTGAAGTCCACTCAACCTTAAACCAGACTGAAGGATTCTGGGAGCTGAAGTTCACTCAACCTTAAACAAGACTTAAGGATTCTGGGAGTTGGAGTCCACTCAACTTTAAACCAGACTGAAGGATTCTGGGAGTTGGAGTCCACTCAACCTTAAACCAGACTGAAGGATTCTGGGAGTTGAGGTCCACGCAACCTTAAACAAAACTGAAGGATTCTGGGAATTGAAGTCCACTCAACCTTAAACCAGACTGAAGGATTCTGGGAGTTGAAGTCCACTCAACCTTAAACCAGACTGAAGGATTCTGGGAGTTGAGGTCCACGCAACCTTAAACAAAACTGAAGGATTCTGGGAATTGAAGTCCACTCAACCTTAAACCAGACTGAAGGATTCTGGGAATTGAAGTCTACCCCTCTTAAACCAGGCTGAAGGATTCTGGGAGTTGAAGTCCACTCAACCTTAAACCAGACTAAGGAATTCTGGGAGTTGAAGTCCACCCATCTTAAAGCTGCCAAGATGGAGAGATACTGCTCTGGTGGGCCATGACAACTAAACTGGCCTTTTGGGGTCTGGTCTTCTTGTCCCTCTCCCCTTTCCCCAGCTCCCCAACCCCACCCTCCCTGTATCTTCTCTCCCCCCCCCCGTGCACCTTCCTCCTCCTCCTCCTCCTCATCATCATCCTCATTCTTTTTCTGCCTTCCCCACAGAAAAATTGTAAGTAAAATCGATGCCGACAAAGACGGCCTAGTCACGGTGGAGGAGCTGAAGGCCTGGATTAAGTTTGCCCAAAAGCGCTGGATTTACGAGGACGTGGAGCGCCAGTGGAAGGGCCACGACCTCAACGGGGACGGCCTGGTTTCGTGGGAGGAGTATAAAAACGCCACCTACAGTTACGTCTTAGGTAGGTCCACTCTCCCCCCCGGCTGACCCTCTGCCCCGCTTTTGTCTTGTAGCGCGATGGTGGGCAAAATAGACACGGATAAGGATGGGTTTGTGACGGAGGGGGAGCTGAAGGACTGGATTAAGAAGGCGCAGAAGAAGTACGTCTATGAGAACGTAGCGCGCCAGTGGCAGGAGTATGACTTGGACCAAGATGGCCTCATCTCCTGGGCGGAATACAGGAATGTCACCTATGGCACTTACCTGGGTAAGGGGCGAGTTGGGGGGGGGGAGGCAGCCATGCTGGAAAGCAGCCCTGGAGCCTTTTTGACTGGGGGGGGGTTTCAAAGCGAGGGCTGGATGCTCCCCTCTCGGGGATGGGGTGGTGAAGCGTGCAGGGGCTGGACTGGATGACCTCCTGGGGACCCTTCTCGGCTCTAGGGTGCTGAAAAAGGCCAAGGGTGTGTGTGTGTGTCATGCTAGGCCTAACTCTTTAAGATGAATGCTGTTGATAGCAAGTCAGCAGATTTGTGTTTCCCATCCTCTGCCCCTTGAAGAGAATGTGGACTTCAACTCCCAGAATCCCCTAGACTTAAAGTTCATTAGCTTGCTGGCTGGGGGAATTCTGGGAGTTGGTCTAGGCATCTTCAGGCGTGACCGGCCAGGGAATTCTGGGACTTGAAATCCCCAGGCTTAAAGTTTATTAACACTTTGGCCAGGGGATTCTGGAAATTGAAGTCCACGCATCTTCAAGCATGGCTGGCCAGGGAATTTTGGGAGTTGAAGTCCACAGGCTTATGTTCATTAGCATGCTGGCTGAGGGGTTCTGGGAATTGAAATCCACAAGGTTAATGTTCATTAGCATGCTGGCTGGGGGGTTTCTGGGAGTTGAAGTCCAGGCATCTTCCAGTGGCAGAGGTTGGAAAATGCAGCTGTAGAGAGAGCATTGGTCTCCGTGTAAGCAAGTCAGTTTTTAAGGCAGCTTCTGCTTTCGATTGTATTAAACCATCCAGGGAATGGTGGCTTCTCAGTCGGGCCTGCTTACTCGGCCTTGCCGATGGGCCTAGGCCAGGAGTAGGCAACCTTGGCTCTTTTATGACTGGTGGACTTCAACTCCCAGAATTCCTGAGGCAGCCACGCTGAGGGGAAAGGGAAAGGTTTCCAAGCTGAGCCATGCTGGCTCAGGAATTCTGGGAGTTGAAGTCCATGAGTCATGAAGGGGCCATAGTTCCCTCATGCTGGCTCAGGAATTCTGGGAGTTGAAGTCCATGAGTCATGAAGGGGCCATAGTTCCCCCATGCTGGCTGAGGAATTCTGGGAGTTGAAGTCCATGAGTCATGAAGGGGCCATAGTTCCCCCATGCTGGCTGAGGAATTCTGGGAGTTGAAGTCCACAAGTCATGAGGGGTGCATAGTTCCCCCATGCTGGCTCAGGAATTCTGGGAATTGAAGTCTGCAAGTCATGAGGGGGACATAGTTCCCTCATGTTGGCTCAGGAATTCTGGGAGTTGAAGTCCACGAGTCATAAAAGAGCCAAGGTTGCCTGCCCCTGGCCTAGCGACAAACTGCATTTTATTGCCGTGTGCCGATAAACCACATTCTTGGCCTGACTTTTGTAGGGTCACAGAACCAGGGACGCCAATCCGCACATGCTCCCCAAGGCAACGCAATTCCGAAGGAGATAAACCCGGAAAAGCAACTTTTCCAGACAATCTCCCCCCCCCCCCCATTAAAAAAAAACCTTGAAAATTGATCCTGGTTTTATCATTGAGGAAAGATTTCCTGACTCACGAACATGTCAACTGTCAAAGGAACCCCCCCCCCCCCATCGATTGCGTTGCAATAATACAGGTAGTCCTCGGCTTAACGACTACCTGAACTGGGCTGGCTAGACCGGGATGTGCCACCTCTGTGAGGAGGTTGGATGGCGGTCCAGTTGAGCCTCAGTGACACTCCCTTCCCCCCCCCATCCCCATCTGTGCCATTCAGATGATCCGGACCCCGACGACGGCTTCAATTACAAACAGATGATGGTGCGGGACGAGCGGCGGTTCAAAATGGCTGACAAAGACGGAGACTTGATTGCCACCAAGGAGGAGTTCACGGCGTTCTTGCACCCGGAGGAATACGACTACATGAAGGACATTGTCGTGCAGGTGGGTGGCCTAACCTAGCCACGAGCTACGGGCAGTCCTCGGCTTACGACGGTCACGGAGCCCCAGGTTTAAGTTGCTAAGCGAGAAATTTGTGAAGGGAGTTTTGACCTCACTTTACGACCTCTGCCGCCACGGTTGTTAAGCGAAGCGCCCAGTCGTTAAGGGATGGTTCCTCCTTTGTCATTGCACTCCGGAGCAGACCTGGTCAGGATTCGCATTCGTTCGGCGGTTTGTCTGTTTCCCCCGGGGTTGAATTGCAGCTTTTCTTTACGTGGAGGTGGTTATAATTCATCTCTTTTTTTCTTTGTATCTGGGTTGGTGTGTGTGTGTGTGTGTGTGTGTGTGTGTGTGTGTGTGTGTGTGTGTTTTTCACATTGTGTTCTGGGTCAGTTGAATTGAGGTCTTGAAGGAAACAAAAAAGTGGGATTCAGGTGAAATAAATCTTAATGCTTGAACCTAGTGGTTAAAGCACCAGGCTACAAATGGCAGGCGGTGAGTTCTAGTCCTGCCTTAGGCATGAAAGCCGGCTGGGTGACTTTGGGCCAATCACCAGGAGACGGTGAATTCTAGTCCCGCCTTAGGCCTGCAAGTCAGTTGGGTGACTTTGGGCCAATCATTAAGAGACGGTGAATTCTAGTCCTGCCTTAGGCATGAAAGCCGGCTGGGTGACTTTGGGCCAATCACCAGGAGATGGTGAATTCTAGTCCCGCCTTAGACCTACCAGTCAGTTGGGTAACTTTGGGCCAATCATTAAGAGACGGTGAGTTCTAGTCCCGCCTTAGGCATGAAAGCCAACTGAGTGACTTTGGGCCAATCACCAGGAGACGGTGAGTTCTAGCCCCGCCTTAGGCATGCCAGTCAGCTGGGTGACTGGGCCAATCACTAAAAGACGGTGAGTTCTAGTCCCGCCTTAGGCCCGAAAACCGGCTGCGTGACCTCACTCATCCCAGTCCACCTCACAGGGCTGTTGTTGCGAGGACAATAGGAAGAAATAGTATGAATACGTTCGCTGTCTTTACTTGTTTATAAAAATAATAACGGGGAAATAAGTAAATAACGCTGCCCCTGACTTCTTTCTACAGGAAACCATGGAGGACATCGACAAGAACGGAGACGGCTTCATTAATTTGGAAGAATACATAGGTGAGCTGGTTTGGCCCTGGACTGGACGCTAAAACTAGACACGGGCGGTCCTCAACTTACAACAGTTGGTTTAGTGACCGGAGTCACAATGGCACTGAAAAAAGGGACTTACGACCCTTTTTCACACTTACGACCGTTACAGCCTCCTCCCCCGCTCACAGGATCAAAACTTGGCAACTGACTCACATTTACGACGGTTGCAGCGTCCCGGGGGTGTGTGTGTGTGTCACGTAATCCCCTTTTGCGACCTTCTGACAAGCAAAGTCAAATGGGGGGGGGGATTCGCTTAAGGACCGCAGCTGTTTCGCTTAACTGTCATGGCAAGCGAGGTCGTAAAATGGGATACTTAGCATTCAGGCTTACACACACACACACACACAGAAGGAGTGAATGCTTCATCATTGGAATTGTTTAAGGAGAGACTGGACAGCCATTTGTTTGAAATGGTATAGGGTTTCCTGCCTGAGCAGGGGGTTGGACTAGATGACCTCCAAGGTCACTCCAGCTCTATTCTATTCCATTCCATTCCACTCTAATTAACCAGTGGAACAACCTGCCTCCAGAAGCGGTGAATGCTCCAACACTGGAAGTCTTTAAGGAGAGACTGGACAGCCATTTGTTTGAAATGGTATAGGGTTTCCTGCCTGAGCAGGGGGTTGGACTAGATGACCTCCAAGGTCCCTTCCAAGTTTATTATTATTATTTAACCCCCCCCCATTTTACAGCGCTCTCTCCTGAGCGGTTTATCACGTAAGCCTTATGTGCCTATTGGCCCCTAACCCTCTGGATCCACTTAAACAGCCGTCTCACTTAGCAACGGGAAGGCTGGGCTCCTTTTTGGTCGTTAAGCCGAGGACGACCCGCGTTCTGCCGGTTCAGCACGTGGTGGGACTTAGCGCTGAGACCCTCGCTGGGCTTTTTTCCTCCCCAGGGGACATGTACAGCCACGACGGGGACACGGAGGAGCCCGAGTGGGTGAAGACGGAGCGGGAGCAATTTGTGGAGTTCCGGGACAAAAACCACGACGGGAAGATGGACAAGGAGGAGACCAAAGACTGGATCCTCCCCTCCGATTACGACCACGCCGAGGCCGAAGCGCGGCACCTGGTGTACGAGTCGGACAAGGACAAGGTGAGAGGCCTGGGGAGAGGGGTGGGGGGGCACCTGCCTCCCGCCCAGGTTTTTTTCTCAGCAGCTCAGCTGAGACCACCAAAGGCCCCTGTTCCTCCACCTGGGGGGGGGCTGGAAAGGAGGGGGGGCAGGACTGCAGATCTGCATGCACCCCCTGCCCGGTTGGGATAGGGTGCCCGGGCCTGGGGGGGGGGGCTCGTGGCAGCCTTTTGTCTATGGGACCCTTGGTGCTGCCTGAGCTGGGTGGTTCCCTTGCAGAGGTGTCGTGAGCCAGCTAGGGAACATCGTCGCTGCTAGAGGGGAGGCAGAGTGGAGAGGAGAAAGAGAAGGGGTAGTAGAGGAAGGAGGGAGGGAGGGAGGGAGGGAGAGAGGAAGGAAGGAAGGAAGGAAGGAAGGAAGGGCTGTGGGGGGTCCGTGATGCTCTCTGAGCTGGGTGCTTTTCTCGCAGACATTTCATGACCCAACTAGGGAACGTCATCAGTGCTAGAAAGGAGTGAAAAGGAGAAGGAAGGAAGGAAGGAAGGAAGGAAGGAAGGAAGGAAGGAAGGGCTATGGGGAGGTCCTTGGTGCTCTCTGAGCTGGGTGCTTTTCTCGCAGACATTTCATGACCCAACTAGGGAACGTCATCAGTGCTAGAAAGGAGTGAAAAGGAGAAGGAAGGAAGGAAGGAAGGAAGGAAGGAAGGAAGGAAGGAAGGAAGGAAGGAAGGAAGGAAGGAAGGAAGGAAGGAAGGAAGGAAGGAAGGGCTGTGGGGGGTCCTTGGTGCTCTCTGAGCTGGGTGCTTTTCTCGCAGACATTTCATGACCCAGCTAGGGAACACCATCAGTGCTAGAAGGGAGGGGGGTTTGCATGGAGGAAGAGGAGGACTGTGGCATCCTCGGTGCTTTTTCCCGCAGACGTTTCATGACCCAACTAGGGAACGCCATCCGTCCTCTCCTCGCGGCTTCACCTCTGGGTTCCTCCCCTTTTTCCAGGACGGCAAGCTGACCAGAGAAGAAGTTGTGGACAAGTACGACCTCTTTGTGGGCAGCCAGGCCACGGACTTTGGAGAAGCCTTAGTACGGCATGACGAATTCTAAGCCACGAATCCTCTTTTTTTTTTTTTTTTAAGGAAGAAAGGTCAGGGTGGGGGGGGGGGAAGTACGGTTTTTACTGTTTCGGGATTAACACACACACACAAAAAAACGCTCTCTACTATCAAGACTCCCTTTCAGCCGAGAATGGGGAGGGGGGAGAGGAGAACACCCCCCACCCCCCAATTGGTCCCATCCTCATTTTTTTTTTCCTCCCCCCCCCCACTTCACTCCCTCCGAGGCGGGAGGTCCGTATTGCGAGACGTCGCCTTCGGTTGAAACCCCAAGGTTTTGCTTTTTTTCATTTTTGCTTTTTTTTAAATAGAGTTGCGTGTTCTTTTGAGTCTAACAAATTCAAGTTTATTTTTTTTATTTTTTTTATTTTTTTTTTTGTTCCGTGTGAAATGAAGAACGCGTTAGGCCTATCGGGGAAGGATGACCGCCCTGTCCCCTCCGTTTTTATTTTTATTTTTTTTAACATCGGTGTGTTCAGCCACCAAAGTCCGAACGCCGGAGAACAAGACGCGGCTGAGGGGGTCAAACGCGGGGTGGGATTTGCCCTCAAGGACCCCTCCCCTGTTCTTCCACCTTTTACGCTACTCGAAGAGGCCGACCAGACAATTTTGCCAACCCCGTTTTAGCTTCTCTGCTCCGGCCTTGAAGGCAGCACAAATCTTGATTTAAATCTCCCTCCGGCATCTCCTCTCAATTTTGGCATCCAAACATCCTCCGGAACGACGCCCCTGTGCCTCGGTTTCTCCAGCATCTCTCGGTTGCGTCATTTTGAGGATCTTTCCGGCACGAGCCGCACGCATGGCGATGTTGCAAGCTGCGTTGTACCTGGGACACTGGTGTCATATGCAAGGCTGGTGAACTCTGCTTGTTTTCCACTCCGGGATTAAAACGGCTACTCGGCAGATGTTGGAAGAGGCAAGGCTGAACCGGGTCTGTCCCAGGTTGAAGTAGCCAACCTAGACTTTGCTAGACCACCATTCGGTAATGTAGAGTAGGGGGTTGAACCCCCCCAGTTGCTCTTTAGGCTCAGAAGGAGAAAGGGGGCGGCTGTCAGCTTTAAGGACCCCTGGATATTCTGCATTTTTGAAGTGCCTTTTTCATGACAAGCAGCTGGCCCAATGCAGGGGGACAGACCCCGAGTCGAATACAGGGTGGGATCTGTCCTCAAAGATCCCCCCTTATTAAAAGCAGTTGGCCCAATGCAGGGGGGCAGACCCCGAGTCGAATATAGGGTGGGATCTGCCCTCAAAGACCCCCGCCCTTTTTCATTAAAAAAAGTTGGCCCAACACAAGGGGGGGGGAGACTCCGAGCCGAAACGTGCTCCTGAAGGGAATGCAGAGAAGCACACTCCTAAATTAACATATCCCCTCTCTTCCTGCATCTTTTACACACACACACACACACACACACACACACACACAAAATATTTGAGCAGAGAAAATATCTTGGCATTAACGGCCGCCCTTTCTTAAAATTCCCCCGTTTGGGGTGCCAGTTTGCTAAGACCGCTTGGCAAAAAGTTGCATGGATTTGTGGGTTTCGAACCGAGCGCTGCGTTGGTTTGGATCTGCTCCTCTCTCCTGAACGTCCGGCTCCTGCAGTGTTTGCAAAGTTGAAATGCTAGGTTTTTTTTACACACCCACACACACCCCTTACAAAACCCCCAAGGGGTTTTGCTAGGTGCACAGGCTAGGATACGCCTAGGATGTAAGCTTGCTTTCCCGTTGGCCTTCGTAACACTAATCGTGGATTCCTTAGCGAGGTTTTCCCCTGGCGGGTTGAATCACCCCGATAGCCAAAGGGTGGAAACTTGAAAAAAGTATTACTTCCTGGTCAATTTTAATCCCCTTGTTGCCAGGGGAAGGAAGAGATCCGTTTGATGACACTAATAGGCCGGCTGTGTGTTCAAGGATTTGCCAACAAGGCACGACACTCGGCTAGCCACCCATCACAACATCGGACAGGCGTTGTTTGCAGCCACCTTGTCCAGGGACGCAGGTGAGAGGCAGAAGCAGAGCAGGAAATGGGCCAATGAGGTGAAAAACAGCCTCACCAGGTGTTTCTACCTGGAAAGCGCCCTTTGGTATAGATCAGGGATAGTCAACCTTGGCTCTTTTATGACTCCCAGAATTCCTCAGCCAGCCTCCATTTTGTTTGTTAGATTTAAGACAGGGGTCTTCAAACTTGGCCCTAAGTCCTCCTGTTCCGAGCGGTGAGCCTCCTAGACCAGGGGTAGGCAACCTTGGCTCTTTTGTGACTCGTGGACTTCAATTCCCAGAATTCCTGAGCCAGCCATGCTGAGGGGAAAGGGAGAAGTTTCCATGCTGGCTCAGGAATTCTGGGAGTTGAAGTTCACGAGTCATAAAAGAGCCAAGATTGCCTACCCCTAACCTAAGTCCTCCTGTTCTAAGCGGTGAGCCTCCTAGACCAGGGTTAGGCAACCTTGGCTCTTTTCTGACTCTGGACTTCAACTCCCAGAATTCCTGAGCCAGCCTGGCTCAGCTTGGAAACCTCTCCCTTTCCCCTCAGCATGGCTGGCTCAGGAATTCTGGGAGTTGAAGTCCACCAATCATAAAAGAACCAAGGTTGCCTACCCCCTGGTATAGATCCTGGCTTCTCGTGGTCATCAAGAGCGCCTGATGAAAGTCACCCCCCCCCTTAGCAAATTTGCACAGCTTGTGGAAAGGGCCCGTTACTACTCCAGAGAGGGTTACTCTCAGCTTTGAAAAGTGGGTCCCCCGATTCTGGGTTTTGTCGCTTTGCTGAACAGGTGTGTGTGGGGGAAGTTTTAGTGTTGCAGGTAACAGGTTTGGGACAAGACACAAAAAATGTTGTCTTTACCATCTTGGGGGTGTTCCTTGTTCGACGTTCTTCCCGTTATTCAAATAAAGCTGATGGAGAAAGGAAGGAAGCAAGAAAGAGAGAAAAGAAAGAAAGAAAAAAACCCTCTCCATCCCAATTCGTCACCGCCAATCTTTGACGCGGCTTTTCGTATACAGCATCCGTGGAGTTTTATATAATGTACAACACACAAATGGTGTCTTAATAAAACTGTTTACATCCTTCCTGAGGCATTGTGTGTTTTGTTGTTCAGGTGTGTTCAAGCTGGGTAGCTGACAGCTGTTTTGTGGGGGGATAGAAAGGGCCCACACAGCTGGAGTTTTATTTCCACAAGGTCCCAGTTAGGTACTTATCGGGTGGGGATCTTTCCTAACAACTGGGGTTTAGAGACATCGGACAACGATGGTGTTGTGCACGTGGGAATCTTCTAAAGCAGTTTGTCAACCTTGGTCACTTTAAGATGAGTGGACTTCAACTCCCAGAATTCTCCAACCGGCCATGCTGGGCCGGTTTTACAGGGCTGATGTGTAACATTGCGATGGCTGTGCACACTTGAAAAGTGGATTTGGGGATCATGAGCCATCGCCTCTTTACGGCTAATTAAAGCAGCCACATCTCTCTCTTTTTCCTCTTCTTCCCTCCCACTTTCTTTCTCCCCGCCCATTTTTGCAAGCAAGTTTTGGAAAAAAAAAAAAAAGGACACGGCTGCTTTGAACAGTTGGTTCATTAAAGCCACTCCACGCAACAGCATTCTTAACAGGAGCCTGAGGCAAGATACGCTTGCTGGTCAAAGCGGGTTTTTTTGGGGAGTCCAAAAAGTTCCGTTTCCTTCCAGATGGCTCATCGCAGCGCATCGCAGCTGCTCTTCTCAAACCAGCGGTTCGCACCGGATCCCTTGAACTGGGTTTATTGTGGCAATGGCTTGCTCCAAATTCTAAGGAAAGGAGCAGGGGAGCAACGCGGTCCTAAAATTCACAGCAGCTTTGCAAAAAAGACAAAACAACAACGATGGGCTGCTTCTGCTGAATCTTGGCCACCCGAATGGTTGCACGAGAGCCGAGTGCGGTTCTAGCCATGGTTTCGACAGATTATAAGACCTAGGCTGGAGCTCTGCACTGCTGGCAAGATACCTTGCAAGATAGGAGTTAGGAGAGCACTGGGAAAATGACCCCCAATTGAGTAGAAGTGGGTTTTCCCTCTAGGTAAAGCTCACAAAGCCGTGAGCCAATCACAAGAGGGACATTTAGCCCTGGTGATGTTACCTAGTTGGGTAATGAAATGTCTGCAAGAAAATCAAGCTGAGAGAGCACTAAGAACCCAACAGTCCTCCTCTTCCTCTTCCTTCTTTTCCTCCTCCCTTTTCCTTCTCCTCATCCTCCTTGTTCTCCTTCCCCTCCCCCTCCTCTCCTCCTCTTCCTCCTCTCCATAACCCCCCCCTCCTTTCTAGCACTGATGATGTACCCTAGTTGGGTCACGAAATGTCTGCAAGAAAACAAGCAAACTCAGAGAGCACCAAGGACCCAACAGTCTTTCTCCTCCTCCTCCTCCTCCTCCTCCTCCTCCTCCTCCTCCTCCTCCTCCTCCTCCTCCTCCTCCTCCTCCTCCTCCTCCTCTCTTCAAACCCCACTGCCTTCCAGTACTGATGATGTTACCTAGTTGGGTCATGAAACATATGCAAGAAAAACTCCAAGCTAGAAGACCACCAAGGACCACACAGTCCTCCTCCTCCTCCTCCTCCTCCTCCTCCTCCTCCTCCTCCTCCTCCTCCTCCTCCTCCTCCTCCTCCTCCTCCACACAAACCCCACTCCCTTCTAGCACTGATGATGTTACCTAGTTGGGTAATGAAACATCTGCAAAAAAAAATCAAGCTCAGAGAGCACCAAGGACCCTACAGTCCATTTCCTTTTTCTCTCCTCCTCCTCCTCCCTCCTCCTCCTCCTCCTCCTCCCTCCTCCTCCTCCTCCTCCTCCTCCTCCTCCTCCTCCTCCTCCACACCAACCCCACTCCCTTCTAGCATCAACAGGGACATTTCCTTTCAAGCATTTGACTTATATTGGGTAGAACGGACTTTCCGATAGGGAGTTTGGGTGACGAAGGAAAAAGTTTGGGGAGCATTGGGTTAGGGGTTCAAATCATCCGGGAAAGGGCAGCTCCTCTTGAGCAAACTTTTTTTTTTGTCCACTCTTGTGTCTAAACGGAGCCCTGGAGTGGTGCTGTGGGGAGAAAATGTCTGTGTGCGCGCATGTGTGTTTTAAAAGAGCTCCATGGTACAGTGGGGAGGGGGGGGTGTCTCTTTTTTTGGCATAAACATCGTCTTGGTTGAGTTCCGACACGCGGAGTGGCTGCTGGGCCCGGCCTTAGTGGGTTTCTCAGCTCTTGGGGCTGACTTGACTGGAGGACACTGTAGAAACTTCCGTCTTCTGAGAGCCCACATCAGACTCGTCCGTCATAGGTTTGCCGCACACCGTTTCCATGATACAACCGCGGAACTGGGAAGGGAGGAGACAGGAGCGTAAGGGCTGCCCAAGGGCTGGCGGAGAATACAGAATAACAGAGCTGGAAGGGATCTTGGAAGTCTTCTAGTTCAGGGGTCCCCAACCCATGGTCCGTGGACCAGTACTGGGCCATGGCATGCCAGCAATCGGTCCACACAAACAAGCAAAGCCCCATCCACGGGATGCAGGCAGCACACAAAACCAGACAGCCTCCGATCCGTGGAAAAACCTCTCTCCACGGAACCGGTCCCTGGTACCCCAAAGGTTGAGGACCTCTGTTCTAGTTCAACCTCTGCTCAAGCAGGAAAACCTATAGCAGGGGTAGGCAACCTTGGCTCTTTTATGATCCGTGGACTTCAATGGCTGGCTCAGAAATTCTGGGAGTTGAAGTCTACGAGTCGTAAAAGAGCCAAGGTTCCCTACCCCTGCCCTATAGCATTCTGGACAAATGGCTATCTTCTTGAAAACCTCCAGTGTTGGAGCACCCGCAACTTCTAGACTAGTTTCACTAGTTAATTGTTCTCACTGTTAGGAAGTTTCTCCTTAATTCCAAGTTGCTTCCCTCCTTAATTAGTTTCCATCCGTTGTTTCTTGTCTTCTGATGCTTTGGAGACTAGGTTGACCCTCTGCTCTCAGAAGCAGCCTCCGCTCACTGTAGACCAGAGGTGTCCAACCTTGGTGGACTTCGGCTGCTGGCTGGGGAATTCTGGGAGTTGAAGTCCACAAGTCTTAAAATCGCCAAGGTTGGACACCCCTCCTGTACATTAACGAAGAGAGGGCCTAGAGCAGGGGTAGGCAACCTTGACTCTTTTATGACTCATGGACTTCAACTCCCAGAATTCCTGAGTCAGCCACGCTGAGGGGAAAGAGAGGTTTCCAAGCTGAGCCATACTGGCCCAGGAATTCTGGGAGTTGAAGTCCACCAGTCATAAAAGAGCCAAGGTTGCCTACCCGTGGCCTAGAGGATATTACATTTAGTAGCTGGAATGGTAAAGTGTACAATGGGCGAGAGCACACAGTTGTAGTTGTTTGGTTGGAGAGTGCTGGCTGCTGCGTGAGGCAGTCTGCACTGTGATTGGTTGCCCTAAGTACGAAGGGGGTGTTTCTCTTTTTCCCGCCTTTTTTCTTCTGTGTGCTCTGTGTGCTGTTTGATTTACCTCACGATATTCCTGTGTTCCTGACTCTCTTATCTGCTGCTGCATGAGGCAATCTATGCTATGATTGGTTGCCATAAGTTTGAAGGGGGCATTTCCCTTTTCCCCTGCCCTTTTTCTTCTGTGTGCTCTGTATACTGTTTAAATTTACCTCATGATAGTGTTCCTGATTATCTTGTCTGCTGCAAAGATAAATGTTAAATATATTTATTTTATATAAAACTACAAGTTTGGGTCAGTGTCTCTGACTTCGTGTGGACACCTGCTGAGCTATTCCCGGTCAAAGCAGTTTAATGGGACCTTCACGTGTCGAGCTGGTCTTTCGCACCTGGTCATGCTCACCTGCTTGTTCATGAAGCAGTAGATGATGGGGTTGTAGACGCAGGAGCTCTTGGAGAAGAAGGCAGGGATGGTGACCAGGCGCAGGTCGAAGCCATGCTGAGGATTATTCACCATGTACATGGCCAGGGCGGCGTACGGAGTGTAGCAGATGCAGAAGGACCCCACCATCACCACCACCATCCGGGAGACCTCTCGCTCAGCCTTCTGGGTGGTGGCTGACTCCTGCTGCTGAGCTGCTACCTGTGGATAACCGGCCCAAAGAGTTGTGACATTTTACGGCACTGATAATGTGACCGAGTTGGGTCATGAAATGTTTGCAAGAAATCAACCAGGCTAAGAGAGCAGCAAGAACCCCACAGTCCTTTTCTTTCCACCCCCTTTTCCTCTCCACAAATCTTACTCCCTCCTAGCGTTGATGATGTTCCCTAGTTGGATCATGACATGTCTGCAGGAAAACAATCATGTTCAGAGAGCATCAAGGACCACCACCTCCTCCTCCTCCTCTCTGCAATCCCCCTCCCTTCTAGCACTGATGAGATTACCTAGCTGGGTCATGAAACATCTGCAAGAAAACCACTAAGTTCAGAGACCACCAAGGACCCCACAGTCATCGTCATTGTTGTTGTCCTCCTCCTCCTCCTCCTCCTCCTCCTCCTCCTCCTCCTCCTCCTCCTCCTCCTCCTCCTCCTCCTCCTCCTCCTCCTCCTCTCTGCAATCCCCCTCCCTTCTAGCACTGATGAGATTACCTAGCTGGGTCATGAAACATCTGCAAGAAAACCACTAAGTTCAGAGAACACCAAGGACCTCACAGTCGTCGTCATTGTTGTCGTTGTCCTCCTCCTCCTCCTCCTCCTCCTCCTCCTCCTCCTCCTCCTCCTCCTCCTCCTCCTCCTCCTCCTCCTCCTCCTCCTCCCCACTCTACCAACCCCACTCCCTTCTAGTACTGATAATGTTACCCAGTCAGGTCATGAAATGTCTGCAAGAAAACCACCAAGCTCAGAGAATGTCAAGGATTCTGCAGTCCTCCTCCTCCTCCTCCTCCTCCTCCTCCTCCTCCTCCTCCTCCTCCTCCTCCTCCTCCTCCTCCTCCTCCTCCTCCTCCCCCCCATTCTACATATCTCACTCCCCTCCAGCACTGAGGATGTTCTCTAGTTGGGTCATGAAATGTCTGCAAGAAAGCAATCACATTCAGAGAGCATCAAAATTCATACGATTGGCAACTGATTCATATTTATGACGGTCTCAGCATCGGGGGGGGGTGTCACACGATCCCCTTTTGTGACCTCCTGCTAAGCAAATTCGACGGGGGGGGGGGAAGCCGTCTTCACTCACCAACCGTGTTACTAACAACAGCTGCAGTTATTCTCTTTATTTGCGAGACCGCCTACTACCTCATAGTTCCCTACGTCCGGTTAGATCCCACAGGCTGGGCCTCCTTCAGCCAAGCAGTGCCATTTGGCGGGGCCGCGGAGGAGGGCCTTCTCTGTGATGGCGCCCACGCTTTGGAATCAGCTCCCCCCGGAGATTAGGACCGCTCCCACCCTGTTGGTCTTCCGTAAGCTATTTAAGACCTGGCTTTTCCGGCAGGCCTGGGGTTTATAAAACCTGACCCCTGGATGATTGTTTTTGTATTGTTGTTTTGTTATGTTTTATGTGTTTTTTTTTATTGTTAGCCGCCCAGAGTCCTTTGGGAGTGGGGCGGCTTATAAATTTTAAAAATAAAATAAATAAATAAACAACAGTTGCAAAAAAAAGGTTGTAAAATGCCGCAAAATTCACTTAACAACCGTCTTACTTAGCCGCAGAAATTTTGGGCTCCGTTGTGGTCGTAAGTTGAGGATTCCCTGTGGTCCAGAGATTTGATGACTTACCGCCCGGAGGGCGCCCAGGAGCCGCGCATAGGAGAAGGTGATGAGGGTGAGTGGAATGATGAAGCAGAAGACAAAGAGAAACCAGGAGTAATACTCGCTCTTGTATTTGGTGCCCACCGTGTACCAGTCGGGACCGCAGGAGCACTGCAGCCCTTCCGGAAGGAACCTGGAAGATGGAAAAGACATGGCCAAGGATAGGATCATAGACTCCTAGGCTGGAAGGGACCTTGGAGGTTGTCTAATCCAGGGGTAGGCAACCTTGGCTCTTTTATGACCCGTGGACTTCAACTCCCAGAATTCCTGGCTGACTGGGTAGGGTTAGGCAACCTTGGCTCTTTTATTACTGGTGGACTTCAACTCCCAGAATTCCTGAGCCAGCCATGCTGAGGGGAAAGGAAGAGGTTTCCAAACTGAGCCAGGCTGGCTCAGGAATTCTGGGAGTTGAAGTCCATGAGCCATGAGGGGGCCATAGTTCCCCCATGCTGGCTCAGGAATTCTGGGAGTTGAAGTCCACGAGCCATGAGGGGGCCATACTTCCCTCATGCTGGCTCAGGAATTCTGGGAGTTGAAGTCCACAAGCGAAGAACACCAGGCCTATGAAGATGGTCTGAAAATGGGAGGCCCACATGGGCGCGATGTGATCCTTCCAACTCTGATGTTCTACTCTACTCTACTCTATATACTCTACTCTACTCTACTCTACTCTAATTCTATTCTATTCTATTCTATTCTATTCTATTCTTCTACTTCATTCCATTATTCTATTCTATTCTATTCTGTTCTGTTCTGTTCTGTTCTGTTCTATTCTATTCTATTCTATTCTATTCTATTCCATTCCATTCTTCCGTTCCATTCCATTCCATATTCTCTACTCTACTCTACTCTACTCCTCTCTGTGCCCATCAAACCTGCTCCAGCCGAAGAAGGGGGGGACGGATACCCCAACTCCGATGACCCACGTGGCTGCCACCACAATCAAAGCATGCTTGGCGTTGAAACGGAAGTTCCCCAGAGGCTTGCAGATCACGATGTAGCGTTCGAAGGCGAGGAAAGCCAAGGACCAGCCAGTGACCAGACCTGGGAATGATGGACAGATAGACAGACCCAGAAAGGGAGGAATTAGAAGTGGACGATGCAGGAGCTCAGAATATAAACCTCAACCAAGATTACACCCTCGACTCTCCATCTCCATCCTTACTTTTAGCACCATTTCTCTATGTTGGCATTTTTATAAGGAGCAGACTTCAACTCCCAGAATTCCCCAGTTGCCTTGCTTTAAGACATATGAACAGCTTGGATGGGTTCCTGCATTGTCTGAATTGTCAAATGGGGCATAGTTAATCATCCTGCTCTGAAGGACAATCGGCTGCTTCAAATCTATTCATACAGGGGTCTCCAAATGTGACCACTTCGAAACTTGTGGACCAACTCCCAGAATTCCCCAGCTGGGGAAGTCCACAAGTGTTAAAGTGGCCATGTTTGACGACCCCTGCATTATAATGTTAACATGGGCTTTCATCCAATGTTTTGGACAAATTCCAAGAGGACCAGATCCACTTCAGTGTTCCTAGACTACAACTTCCATCATCTCCTGCTTGGCTAGGTCTGAAGGGCATCACGGTTTGATCACTCTCAAGAGAGATGGAGAGACTTCAACTCCCAGGATTCCCCTGCCTGCTTGCTTTAAGAGGTGTGGGTCTTCGGTGCTAGCTGGAGAATTCTGGGAGTTGAAGTCTACCACTTTTAAAGTGACCAAGATTGAGAAACTCTGCGGTGAACGCTCACCATAACTGGACTTCAACTCCCAGGATTCTTCAGCCAGCCCTGATGGCCACACCTCTTAAAACCAGGGAATCCTGGGCGTTGAAGTCCACCTCTGCTTAAAATGAGCCAGGTTGAGAAACAGCGGTTGAGTGGGTTTTCCAGAACCAGGCCATCCAATAGAGGTTAATGTTTTTTGGATGGGTCAACCTGTTGTGTCCTTCAGACCCAACCAAGTAGACAGGGGTCTTCAAGTTTGGCCCTTTTATGACTTTTGGACTTCAACTCCCAGAATTCCTCAGCCAGCATGCGAACTGGCTGAATCCCACCACTGGGCAGGACCCACCTGGGGGATCACCTGGTTCTCTCTCAGTCCTGGTCTTTACCTGCCACCGAGCCTAGGAAAGCCTCCAACATGCAGACGTGACGGCCAAAGAAGAAGTACCCTTGGGTGCTGGACAAGAAGACCGTGAAGACCGCGAAGACGCAGAAGATAAATCCGGCAAGGGAGATGTTGACCAAAATGTAGTTGAGCGGCTGCCTCAACTTCTTGTACTTGATGGTGACGAAGAGGATGATGGCGTTGAGCGGGGTCCCGGCGAAGAACACCAGGCCCATGAAGATGGTCTGAAAATGGAAGGCCCACATGGGCGCGATGTGATACTGAGGACCATCCCAGGGCTTTATGGAGGAGATGTTTTCATACAGGTAGAAGTCGTCTTCTTCTTCGGACATCCTCCCAAGCCCGGGACACCAGTGTGGACCCTTCCAGAAGGCTTCTCCTCTCCTATTATAGGACGCCAATGGAGGACAACGTCCGCTTAATGGCTCAAGATGGGATCAGCGGCTAATCCTGATCATCCAAGATGCAAACTTGGGGATTAGGGATATATAAGAATCCGGCCTTCTGTCCCGTAAACCTCCTGAGAAAGTAATCTCATTTGTGGACTAGCTGCAACCCATCAAGAAGGATCTTCAGATCTTAGAGGACAAATATGGGTGAGACCATAAGACAAAAACTGTCCTCCTCAATTTCTCTGGTTGGGGCCCAAAGAGTCAACTCCACCTTAGCTATCCTTCTGTCCGAATCTTGGTTTTTGGCTCTCTAACCATCTACCTCCGGAGTTGGACTTCCAAAATCTGGTGGCCATCAAGAAGAAGAGTTTATAGATTTGATGAGTCTAAACTTCTGGGAAGGCTGGTCAACTGACCAGGAAGAAGTAGCTGAGAGGACCTGGGTCTTGACCACCATTGGCCCAACAAGGTGTCCCATGGCATAGCCCAGGGGTCTTCAAACGTGGCCCTTTGACGACTTGTGGACTTCAACTCCCAGAATTCTTCAGCCAGCATGCCTGGCTGAGGAATTCTGGGAGTTGAAGTCCACAAGTCATGAAAAGGCCACGTTTGAAGACCCCTGGTTTATATAGTCCACGCTGGCTGAGGAATTCTGGGAGTTGAAGTCCACAAGTCATCAAAGGGCCACGTTTGAAGACCCCTGGTTTATATAGTCCATGCTGGCTGAGGAATTCTGGGAGCTGAAGTCCACAAGTCATCAAAGGGCCACGTTTGAAGACCCCTGGTTTATATAGTCCATGCTGGCTGAGGAATTCTGGGAGTTGAAGTCCACAAGTCATCAAAGGGCCACGTTTGAAGACCCCTGGTTTATATGGTCCATGCTGGCTGAGGAATTCTGGGAGTTGAAGCCCCCAAGTCTTGTCTCTATGTCAAAACTGTCCTCGTTTAGTGACTGCCTCATTTACTGACTGTTTCTAGTTTACAACGGCGATGAAAAAGTCCCTTGGCAGCCAGTCCTCTCATTTGCGGCCTTCGGGAAAGGAAAGCTGAAATCAGAAAGTCAGCACAGTGGCAGTTTCGCATAGCGGCTGCTTCATTTAATGTCTGAGTCACCCCTTCCAACTGGGGGTGACTAAATGAGGATTACCTATAAATCTTTTATACAAAGAAGTAGGCTAGTACGGGCTGTTTCGCAACTGAATTTGAGGCATGTAGAAAGATAAAGCGGGCGAATC